GGTCCCCATCGTGGATATATCTAGCAGGACCATTCATGTACCACTGCTACATGGTGCAATTAGACCAACACACAACATACCCTTACCTCAATATCTATATTTACAACGGAAGCATATACACTATCAATTTCTCAAAACTAAATATCTTGTCAAACAGGCATATAAATTCAACTTAATGCTTCTAGTAGGGTTCTAGGCTCACATTTCATACTAGTAATCATACATATCATTTATCATCAAGAAGTTCACTAAGCTTGTATCTGACAATTTGGTTCCACTTGTATGTAAACCAAGGTGCACATCACCCAGGATGGCTCGCCGACCAAGGTAGGTCCACTAGGTTCAATTAGGTCTCTAGTCATGGTACTTTCTGTATTTGAGAATGATTCGAAATATTTTGACCAAAAATCAATCATCAGTCAACGAAAAGTGAAGAACACTACATAATTTAATCCGGAAGATCCACCCCCTAGATTTAAGATCCATAACCTCCTAAGAGTCTCAATAGGTTTCTAAAACAACATACTAAAATGTTATGACAATCTAACGGTTGGATCTCCGCCCATTGCAAATTTAAGTGACAGTCAACGATCGGTTCTACAAATGTAGAATTTCAATCCGGAAAGATCCGTACGTCGGATTTCCGACCCCGTAAGTTTCTAATGTACTTAAACAATACACATAACAACATACTACAATTTTACGATGATCCAACGGTCGGATTGGCGTTAATTAAGCTTGTTTTTCCGACCAACTTTGTTTTTTAACAAATTTTGCTGGCAAGTAGATCTCAACTTAAGGAACAATTTTCATACCTGTAACAAAGTCCAATTCGACCGGGAAGACGCTGAAATCTGCCTGAAATCCCCTCAAACCGCCTTGCCGTTTTCGTTGCAATATCAGTGAAAGGTTAGTATTTATAATTTCTTTTTTCGTTTTTGTTACGTGTTGATGCATGTTAAGCCTAGTCTCTTCCAATCTTATATCCTCTTTTCCATTCAAGGTGAGCAATTTCAATTTTTTGGGTTATGGAATAATTCATGTGAATAATGTGGAGTTGGCCAATGATTAAAAAAATGCATGTACAAAAGCATGTTCTTTGACTCAGTTATTAGTTTTGTTTTAGAACATAGTAATACTAATATATATGTTTTTTAGCCGACCCCACTTAGTGGGAAAAGGCTTTGTTGTTGTTGTATTCTCCGGCAGCCCCAAGTTAATCAATGACCTTTTGGGAAGTGAACGTTGTAGAAGTATTTGTTAGAACTGTAAAGAGAGAAAGTCTTAGAACTCGAATCGGTATTCCTATAGCTCTATTCTATTTCCTATGGAAAATTAGTGAATCATTTGTTGTTTTTAGGATTTTTTTTTAAATGGATTTTTTGTATAATAAATTTATTGTTTTAACTCGACAAGCGTAACTCATACACTTGCAACCTATACTATGTTGGCATCAAGTTTGATATTCATTTCTGTATTGCAGCATCAGTGTTCGCGTCAGGAATTTCCGTCGGGGATGTCTCCTGGCCGACGAGCACACAGCTCCCCTGGAGGTTGGCGCCGGTTTGAGGGCTGCTGTCGAGCTTCTGCTTCGCTGTCGGGCTTTGTCGGGCAAGTCTCGTCGGGCAAGGCTCTTCGGGCAAGGCTGAAAGAGAAGGACAACGTTAACTTTGAGAGGTGCCTTTGTGGGGCCTTAGGTGTTAACTACATTGCAGTGTTTGAGAATTGAAGGGAAAATCAAGAAGAAAGATGAAGAGAAGAAGAACACAGAGAGTTTGAGAGAGAGAGATATATATGCTTTTGTATTAACTAATAGAATGAATGTTACACAACTGTTTTTATAAGAGAAAGTCTAACTACTCTAACCAAATACTAACCAACTTACTAACTGTATGTATTGCTGACTTGTACCCTTAATACTCCCCCTCAATCTCAACTGGGGAAAACCCAGTTTGAGATTGGAAGAACATATCTGCAATCACTGCTATGAAGCTAAACTCTGCACAAACCCAGACCTTTGTCTCTAGTTGATCTTTGAAGCACAAAGCTGTTTTAAGTCTAAAAGATATGCCAATCCAACCTACTGATCATCACAGCAGCTTTAGTCTTTAGAAATCTGGAAGGAGATGAGGAAGATTCCCATAAGCAAGAAACTTAAACAAAACTGTGTTATACCACCATGCGTATACATATGCAACATATGACACATATCTCCTGCAAGTTCCCCTATTCCAACTATGGGAAAAAAAAAAGTTCAGTTATATGGACCTCAGCAATACCAATACCCCTCTATTTCCAGCCTTTCAATTCAACCAATGGACTTGTACCCTTCTGCCTCTAACCAGAGTTGCACAAAGAATCACATGAAGTGCATATAAAATTTCACATAGAATAGACGGGAAACGTTACATACAGTCATCATAGGGCCTTCACAAAGAATCACATGAAGAATCTGTGCAAATTCTTCTCCAGCTGCAGTCATCATAGGGCCTTCAGGTTATGGTACTGAACAACCCAAGTCTCCATATGTTAGTGTATCACGAAGCACCCCCTATCTGCTTAATTTGTATTCATCTCATGAACAATTTCAAGAACTACCCAAGAATTATAGAAAACTTGCAAGAACGGCTTTGTGCCGCAAAGAATCGCAAAGAATATACAAGATAATGGCTTCGTGCCGCAACAAATTCAACAAGAAAATGGCTTCGTGCCTCAACAAATCAACAGGAAAAATGGCTTCGTGCCTCAACAAATCAACAGGACAAATGGCTTCGTGCCTCAACTAAAATGGCTTCTTGCCTCAACAAATTAACAGAATACTGGCTTCGTGCCCCAAGAAACATAGTAAAAAAAAAAAAACCCAGAACAAATCACGACTCCGAAACGAAACAAATCACCTGAGAACCGCAGAGATGAAAGATTAAGCATATTCAGAGCTACAACTTCAACACGAACTCCCCAAAAAACCCATAACTGCCGAGCCCAAGAACATTCGTGTACCCACAGTGGATTCGCAGACCCATTTCCACAAACACCTTCACATGAAAATTTTGAGTTTGGCATTTCGACAAACACCTGGAGTGCACCCATGTCTGATCTTTCTTCCATACCAGAGAACAGAACAGAGATCAAAGAATTCACTGACCCATTTCTTCAAACAGTTGGAGTGCACAAAATTAGAACGTGAAAAGCTCCTAAGACCAGAATCCACCTTCAACTACCAGAAAATCGTCAACTTGAGGATATGGAATTAGAGCAACTGGATCTTTCTTGTCCCACCAACCTTCCACCTTTGACCACACAAGATCTGAAGAAGAAAACTTCAGCGCAGGTCAATCTGGGCTTTTCTGGCAGAGGCAAACTTCAAAAGCTAGTGGGAAGGGCCTCTCTGTCTACGATTAGCAATCCGGTGTCGAAATGAAGGAGGATTCATCGCGATCAGTGGTGAAATCTCAATTCATATCCCAGAAAAATAAACCAAGAACAATCACGGAAGCACCTAAAATCTAATGAAAATTTGAGGAGAAACTTAACTAGAGGAAAAAAAAAAATGCAAACTACTAAGAAGTGCAACCACCAGAATCATGGCCTGAGCTGGTGGCTCTGATACCATGTTAACTACATTGCAGTGTTTGAGAATTGAAGGGAAAATCAAGAAGAAAGATGAAGAGAAGAAGAACACAGAGAGTTTGAGAGAGAGAGAGATATATGCTTTTGTATTAACTAATAGAATGAATGTTACACAACTGTTTTTATAAGAGAAAGTCTAACTACTCTAACCAAATACTAACCAACTTACTAACTGTATGTATTGCTGACTTGTACCCTTAATATTAGGTGTAAGCCTTGAGGCTCACAATCAAGGTTAACATTTAGGTGCTCAGGCGTGCCACTGCCATCTTTAGCATGGCAGATGTAAAATGGATATCGCTTTAGTTGCATGTATGTATGTATCCAAGAAACCGTGTTAGTTATAACAAGTGCCTTTGTGGGGCCTTAGGTGTAGGCCTTGAGGCTTCCCATCAATAACTAAACCGATGCTTGAACACATCATATTTGTTCTCGTGATTGCCGGAGTTTTCTAACTATTATACTTCTGATTACCCGAGTCCAAGAAGTAGAATGAACCCAAATAGGTGCCTTTGTGGGGCCTTAGATGTAGGCCTTGAGGCTTCCTATCAGAGTTCATTCCTATACTTAGACTCTTTAGATCGCTGAACGGAATGAATCCAAATGGATGCCTTTGTAGGGCCTTAGGTGTAGGCCTTGAGGCTTTCCATTAGAATCCATTCCATGCTCAAGCTTTCTATAGTAATCATGATATAATAGAAGGAAAACTAGAGGGTAGGTTGATTACTTGCGCCCCAAGTAACTTCGGACTTCTCGTTTATCAAGGACTGTCGTGGATGGGTTAAGTCCACATAAGGTTCTTTTTTATGCCTTGAGGCCAAGGACTTTTAACTGATCAGATTTACATGCCCGATGGCTTAGGACTTGGATCTGGTTTGAACACTGACGATATATTCAAATCGGATTCAAGTACTGAGAAAGCCTTTTAATAGTCATATTGCTAGAAATAACTTGCATATAACTGGAAGTATACAACATATTGAAAAGACAAAAACAAAGCAAAGAAGGTCAGGCAAGGTTAAACCTTATCGGGTAAGGTTGCTCGTCTTGCAGGTTCCTATCTTTGTAGTTTTGTCAAAGGTCTGAAAGCTTAGAGGGAGAGAGAGATTACAAAAAAATGAATCGATACTAGCAAGGTTGAACAAGGTAGCAGAGCTATTACAAAGGGTTGAAGAGAGGGTTATCCCGAGGGGGATGAAGGTTTGTCCCGAAAGGGATGAAGGCTGACTACAGCTTTGTTTTGAAGGCAAATCTGGTTTTGAGCAGAGTTTTTGCTTTTGTTTGTTTGTTTGAGTGTCCTTATTCCTGGTTTCTCCTTCTTCTTATATAGACAACTCGGCTTGGCTCCTTGTAGCAGCAGCCTTGCCCGAATGCGGTTTGAGGGTGATGACTCATCGGCTTTTTTACATGGACTGCCATCATAAAGTACTTTATGGGCTGTGTAGCTGATCAGTCTATACCACTTGGCCTTTGGGTAGGTAAGCAAGTGGTCTTCATGAGCTGCACCAAGTCAGAAAAGGCCCTTTTTGCCTTCTGGGCTTCGACTGGGCTTCGACTATCTTAGTCTTTATGCATATTTCACATTGAGTTGTCAATGGGATTGTTCCTTAACTAGACAATTGTTACTTGGAATCTGTATTTATGCCGTTGCCATGCATCGATCTATCTCATGAATCTTCTTATGATCAGTTATTCTTTTGTTTTGCCATGTGATCCTTCAAACAGATGCACCTGCGTTCTTTTCCGGATTTATGGAACATAGAGAAAAGGTATTCAAGCTTTCCTTTTTCTTTGTTAACAAAGATCATTGGTGCTTATTGTTTTCCTTGGCTATCCTACTTTTAGAGTAGGTTGTGGTAAATGTCAACCCAGTAATTAAGAAGTGACATATTTTTTCTTTGATGTGTCTGATAGATGTAACCTGAATTGATATTTCTTCCTCAGCTCCCTGCGGATTCCATATTGATCAATATGGATTAATTATGCAACTCGATTGGAGTTTGAATGTAGTTTCATATTGTTAAGCCCTTTCATATGGATGAGAAATATTGTTAATCCCCACTTGGAGCAGCCTGTTCATCTTTGATATCTTCATCGCTGATCTCTCTGTCATCAAATCCTGCATCAAATAAAGTTAATTAAGACATCATTCATCCCATACATTTAGTTTTATATGAAACAAATTTCAGCTATAATTGGTTGTAATAGTACATGGCTTGGTCTTTGCAGGATCTTTGGTCTTTGAAAGTTTTAACATTTTGGTTTTCGCATTTGAGCTTCGCAGACCTCATAAGCTTTATCAGTGCTTTTCTGAAATTTGGAGGTTTGCTTTCATTTATCTTTGTGGTTTTTTTTTTTCACTTACTGGTTGTCTCTTAGACTTTGAGAATGTAACCTATTCAAGTTGTCTGCAGGAAGAGAGAGACTGAAAAGCAGATAGACAAAGCCTTCTTGCCCTTGGCGAGGAAGAGATCAAGCTGCTACTTTGCGTATGTTCGAGAACGGAACACAAAGGCAAAGCTCTGTCATGTTGCACATTTTGTACTTTTAAAAGTCCTCAACATCCTCAGTCCAACAAAGATTAATGAGGTAGCTGTCTTTACATACCTTTGCGCTTGCGTCTATTTAAGATTACAAAGGAAAGCATAGCAATCCATAGACAGCTTAAGGCTTGACAGTGATTTTTGGTTTTGTCAGATAAAAGGCGTTGGGGAAATCCTTGAAGGTCTCCCCTCATATTCTCAGAGGCATTTTAGCCGAATGGACAAGCACGAAACAGACACATATTTGAACCAGAGACAGATACAAGGGTATTGCATGACAAGTCTTTGATGTAGTATAATTTAGATACAAACTGATGACTGTGATCAATTTATTTTCTCTTTGTGGTTTGTAATCAGAAATCCACCATTTTAGTTATACATAGGCTTCTAATGTAAATCCAATAGAATATAGATGCAAACGGATAGAAATATTTCTACCGAATGGATTTAACTGCTTTGACCGGTTTTTTAATTATTTAGAGATGAATGTGTAAAATTGTAGTTACAATTTCAAAACTTGCAGTAGAGTGCGGACATTTTTGCTAGTGTCAACTATGATCAAACCTGAGCCAAACTGAATCCAAAATTTGGTGCAATCATTCATCGACAACCAGTTTTTCTTGAGGAACTGTTGTAGACTTGTAGTTCCAACTTTTAGCTCTAAGCAATTCTGTTGCTAATTTTGAGGCTGAGACGTTCAGACATGATGGACCCATGTCTATTCCTTATCGTTGTCACATATAGCCCACTCATGTTGCAAATGTTTTCTTTTCACAATAGATTTTTTTTTCTTGGACAATCAAAACACCACACTGTCCCATAAAAATAAGTTAACCATTGTATGTGGGACTCAATTACAGTAAAATGTGTGTCAACCAGTTCTGTTTGTCTAAATAACATAATTCATATTTCTAAGCTAAAATTGCAAGTTTTTTTAGTTGACTAAGTTTTTTAGACTGTACACGATAAGGGTCTGTAATAGTTAATTTTTCAATTCGTATTAGTCCTAAATTTTAAGTCTAGGTATTGCATGTAGTCCAATATCCTAGCTAATGGTTAGGGATTTGGGTTTCTACCTATGGTTTGAGGTTCGAAACTCATTTTTTTTCTTTTCTAAATTAATATAATAGTTTTGATCCCTCTCATAATCTCATTCCCCTTAATAATAGTAAAAAAAAAAAAATTTAAAAAAAAATAGTCTAGCTGTTGAAGACTAGCGATATGTTAACAAAGAGCAGGATTCGTGAAACTCCAATTGGTAAGTATCATGTTACATCCTTATAGGAAATCATATATGAGAATTTGGTAACGTGAGATCAAAATATATTTGCATAGTTTTTAGGAAAGAAAATCAATTTGATTTGGCTTTAGTGTATTTAGGGCGGTTCGTTGGTGGGCAAAAAATTAAATTAGGTTTAACCAAATCAAATTCAATATAATCTTGGGATATTGTGAAAGGGGTAAAGTTAGGGAGATTAAATTTGTAGACAAAATTTACAAACTAAAGTCATAATTCAATCATCAACTCTCATGTCATTCAATTTGCAAAATTTTGTTTACAAATTTAGTCTCCCTAGTATTTTTGTGGAAAAGAAAAAAAAAAACCATGATCAACGGCATGGTGAGCAAGTTTTACAGTTTTGCAAAATCAACGTTTTGAGCCTGAATTTCATGTAGCAAAGTTGTGGAGCTTAATTGAGAGTTAGACATATCATTCATTATGCATGATCAAGCTATGTTCAAAAAACTTCGTAGAGGTGTGCAATCAATAGGAGACGAAGAGATGCAAGTACGAAGACAAGATGGCAAGACAATCTATTAGTCGGTGTCTGGTAAGTTGTGTCCAGCAGCTAGTGTGTTGAAAGTAATTATGCCTATGCACCATGGTGCGAGTTTGATTTCTACCAATTCTCTTGCATCCTAACAACTATTAATTTAATCCACTAATGCTATTATTTGTTAAAAAAAAAGGTTGTGTCTTGTATGAGTTTTGTACTTGTTTGTTTGACATTAGTGAATTCTTTAACCGGCAGTGTGCCCATGAAATTTTCTGAATGTGTGGGTTTTTACCACGTAAAAGAAAAATCGCGTGTTCTCATCTTCTTATTTAATATATTTACTTGTTGCTGCATTCCAAGATTGAAACGCCCGAGTGTCTGACTGTTTTTACCTGGGCTGTTTCTTTGTTGGGTTTTGGTTCCTCAATCCATCTACATTTTCATAGGCTGATTTTGTTTTATTTTATTTTATTTTATCTCAACATATATTTTGATTTACAAACAATGTTCAACACGAATCTAGAGGAAGGGGAGATAAGAGCATTTGAACATAGAATGCAACGGGTTGAGCATGAAGACATTAATTACCAGAGCAATTCACATGTCTTATAATTTCTTGTATTAGTAAATCAATTGATTCTTCACTATCCTTTTTGTCAGTAACCAGAGTGCTAAAAGTTAAAAGAGTGATTCCTATTTTTTAAATGAAAGGTAATATTGTTATGATGTAATATAATGTTGAATAATGATTTAATTGTAAACTTAAAGAGAAGGATAAACAAACTAATATCGAATAAGAGCATATTGAATTTCAGGAGTCGACTAATAAAATGATGAGAAACAATAAAAATTAATTATAAACTATGATTCTTATTCAAAGTGTCACATCCCGGCCCGGGGTCCACCACATCCCGCACTCGCTCCACTATCGTAGCACGATATTGTCCGTTTTGGGCCCCGATTACGCCCTCACGGTTTTGTTTTTGGGAACTCACACAAGAACTTCCTAGTGGGTCACCCATCATGGGAGTACTCTCGCGCAAACTCACTTAACTTCGGAGTTCCGATGAACTCCGAACAGCTCCCAAAAGGTCTCGTGCTAGGTAGGGATGAGAATATACATATAAGGATCACTCCCCTGGGCGATGTGGGATCTTACACAAAGACACAAAATAAAGAAGATTACAAATTGCAAGCGACTTTTTTTTTTGAACAATCAATATTATCTATACCAGGGGGTGAGGGGTGTGCTTAGCCTCACAATAGGCTAGCAATAATGTGGTTCAAGTTCACTTTTGGCAAGAATTGAACATAAGTCTCTCACTCATAAGTGAAAAAGAATACCACTAGACCGTAATACTAAGTGGCCGACGACTTTAATCCAAAAGATTACGAACTAGTTTGGATGTGCTATTAAAATGACTGAAAATGTTTTTGGAGAAAATGTTTTTGGGTTCCAGAAGCACTTGAAGTGCTTTTTACAAGAAGCATCAGCTATGTGCTTCTTCGAAGAAGCACTTTAAGTGCTTTTCCAAGATTTACTTGCATTTTTACTAAGGATTGTTTCCAAAAGTATTTTCACCAAAAATGCTTTCAGTCATTTTAAAAGCACATCCAAACGAGTTCTACATCTTGCCAGAGCTTTCGAAATTACAAAAGGTATATTAAAAATTAGGAAAAGATAATGCTAGGGAGACTAAATCCAAAGACTAAATTTGCATAACTAAATGATGTGTCACTAATGGAAATAATATATTAAAAATTAGGATAAGATAATGTTAGGGAGACTAAATTTGAAGACTAAATTTGCATAACTAAATAATGTGTCATCAATGGAAATAAGCACGTTTATCAACGTTTAAGTAATAAACTAATCATCAACTTTTATGTACTCTTCATTTTTAAAATTTTATCTACAAATTTAGTTTTCGAATTTACAAAAGGTATATTATAAATTAGGAAAATGCTACGGGCACCCACACATGCATCATTGCATCTTTAAATAAAGGGGCTTTTAGATCCAGGTCAAAAAACATAGAATGTTTTTAGGAATGAGTCCAGTTATCTAATTACATGTTTTTATTTATTTTATACTCATTTTATATTTTATGAAAATATTAAAAATCAATTAAAATCTTTTCATATTATGCATTTTCCAACTCCAAAAAATATAATTAATATCTTATAACAAAAAAACTAAGATACTAACATAAATTTATCTGCAAAACATTCTACCCTAACTCAAGTAACAAATATATAAATGTATATTATACCTATACGTGAGATATGAAACCTAATTAAAAGGTAGAAAAAACATAACATACCTACAAGTAAGACACATTAATCTGTGATAGGTTGATTATTAAGAAAAAAAAATCTGTCACATAGATAGATAAATATAATTAACCTGTGATATAGGTTGATTACAAAAATTAAAAATAAAATCTATAAATAGGGTTTAAAGCAGATGGAAGAATGAGAAATAACAAAAAGATAAATAAAAAGAAGGCTTTTTATATTAGCACCCCACAAAATGTTGAATGCACCCTACATTAAAATTTAATATTAATGACTTATTTACTCTACTATGTAATAACAATTTTGACCTTATTAGGTCTAAAAAATAATAAAATTTTTATAAATACACCCCAATTCACTTTTAACGTATTATTTATCTATTTCAACTATCAAAACCCCTCACATTCTCCATTGTTGAATAAAATCCTAAGCAATGAAACTAGAAACATGTTGATTGAGAAAAATAATTTTTGACGAATGGAACACGAAATCGGTGTTTCGAAAGCTTTGAAATCATTATTATTGTTGTTGAAAAACGTTCAAATGAACCTAAACATTTTTTGAAAGCATTCAATTTGAAATCATTCGGCAAAATAAAAAATGAGTGTTATAAGATTTGAGAAATGTGGGGTGTGTGTAGAAAATATAAGGTGTATATTACGAATGTGGGGTGTGAGGGTATTATGGGGAAGGAAGTGAGGTCTATTAAAATAATTTTTAATTGAAAAAGTAAATGTGGGGTATATTAAGTATGTGAGGTTTATTCAACAATTTGTGAGATGCTAATATAATAAGCCTAAAAAGAAATAAGCAAAGAGATAATTGGGAAGAAATTTGATTTTAACAATAAATCTTATCATTGAACAGATAACTATTGATAATTAAATAATTAAATATAACAAATTGGACTTATTTTAATAAACTGGACTATTTCTACTATTGGCTCAAAAATTGGACTTATATCAAGTTTCCCCTTCAATAAATCAAAGTTACATATGGGTCCTGCCACTAACACAATAAAAAATTAACTACCTATTTACTCTCTCTCCTTCACCTTCTACCCAAACCGAAGAATCAAGAAGTCTTAAACAAATGCCATTTCCGCTTTCTTTATGAACTTGGTCATGGCTACACAGTTGCAAACACTCCATGAAAAACTTCACTAAACCCCAGATCTGAATTATTTAACGGAAATAAATATGAAGTTTTAATTGTAACTAAAAATCCAAAGATCTAGGGTCTGTTTGGTATCATATTAAAAAAAAATTATAATTTTTCAAAACATTTCTTAAGAACATATTTTAAAAATAATTTTCATTAAGATTCAAAAACTTGTTTGGTCTGACATTCAAAATTGTTATCAAATTTTGATAATTAAAAGA